TTTTTTTTTTTTTTTTTTCAAATAAAATAGAACAAACTATTTATTATCTTATTTCGATCAACTTAACGAGTCGAGCTCGAGCAAATTGAAGTAAAATATGCAGGTGCTTATTTATTTTAAACTAACTTTTTCTTATTTTTTTAATCTTAATATACTCATAAAAACCTTTAAAATATAAATGAATGAGCTAGGATTATAAACTTAAAATCAAATGATCAAATCAGTTTCAAAATTACAAGTATATTCTATGGTCGATTAGACTCCATCATAATTATATTTACTTTTGTTGCCGTGAAATTGGTGGACATAACGAGTTACCGACAGTTAGTATACAACAGACAAAATATCGATTCGACGGTGTACAGTAGTATATTTATTGTGTATGGAACAAAGGACTCATCTGCATTTAATTGTCTCAGAATAAGTGGGTGTAACTTAAAGATGGTTGGGATTCATTAATGAGATTTTTATTTTTATTTTTATTTTATTTATTATCGTTGATCAGCCGGTGTGCCAACTGGATCTGATTTTAAATGTTTACATTTAATTTTAAAAATGATTAATAGGTTTTCTCAATTCGATTATGCAGAATTTTGACAAAAACTTTTGAGGGTAATTTCTCTCTATAAACATTATATCATTACATACTTCAATACTTATTTGTAGGTGTTACTCGACTTTGAAAGAGTAATTTTTTGCACTTTAATAGAGAATATTTACGAAAATTGAAGTCGGACATCTCAACATCAACTACCATGATAACACTCCTCCCAATGCAATGGTCCTAACAATTATTCGAGCTAGCTTTAGATAAATGCAATGGAGATTAGGGTTTTCAAGTACCTTTATACAAATATATGCAAACAGATGAGGCTGCACATGGCATTTGGTGGCTACTTCATTTGTTGGCATTTTTATTTTGTACTGAACCACTACAGGAATATCAGGTTCTAACTCTCAAGAAAACAACTGATCAACACAGCTACTAATTGCAAGTGCAGTTTTAAGAATGTTTGATCCCAAGAATTAATCGACAACACCACAAAGTTTAGTACGTTGTGCCATGAAATGGGGGCCCACATTGATAGAGATGGTCAAAATATTTGATAGAATTTAGAATTTGATATGGAATGAATTTGCTTTCATTGATTTATTGAAGTATACAATAACAATGGAAGACATCCTTATAATTATATATGTTAATTGGTCTTGAATTCGTTTCTTTATGCTTCGCCGTTGATGTCCCTTTTTTCGATTGAAAGTAAAAAAACTCACTTCAAGAAGCAAACAATCCTATTTTTCTACTCTATGGAGCAATAAGAATGCAATCTCGAAAGCCAATAAGAACACGTGTTGAATCGAATATTACAAAATCATTGTTCAAATAAATAGTTCGATAACTAAATTGAAAAGTTTAGACAGCTCTAAAGCAAAAGAAATGTAAAGAAAGATCAATAATTAAATACTTCAGTGGTTGGCTAAAGGCACAAGTAAAGATTAAGCAATATGATAAAAGGACACATCAAAAGATCAAGAAAAGTACAAGAAAAGTGCTTGTTTAGCACTATCAAAAGGACATGGAATTAGAGGCTCACTTATGCTTCCAAACATTTCTTTAGCTTATGTTTGGGTCACATTATTTTTTTCATTCTCATTTTTCTACTCATTTTCAACCACACATCATTCGATAAAATAATATTTTTTATCACATCATTGATTTTTCCTTCATTTTCAACCACATATTCCACATCACTTCAAACAAAAAAAAAATGCATTATTGGACTCGAAATGTGCACCAAACAGGGACTAAAGAAGTAAAGAGTCATAAATTGATTATGCATAAGTTGGTGAGACCAATAATATTTCGATAAGGTGTTTCAGTCACTTCGTTCTAAAGGATTGTCTTGTATTGGGGTTGTAGACAATTTTAGATATTCAGATCGAAATCACTCATAATACTGTTTTTCTTTTAAATTCTTATATATGTATCTTACAAATTTTATTTCGCACAAAATATTATTATAGGAGAAGTTCGAAAATAATCATTTTTCTCAATTTGTACAAGGCTACTTTTATTGTTATTATTATTAATTAATTTCTTGTTTTGGACGGGGTTGATAATCAAGGGGGAAGATACATTCAAGAGAATAAGTTTAGCTTATTTCAAAAATAAGAAAATAAGTTTGAAATTTTCAAAATCAGATTTTTATTAAAAATTTTTAAATTTTTATTTATGAAATAATAAATTATTAAATTAATTTATTATTAAATATTTAATTCTAATATAATATAATTAACCCATCCCACCTTCACCACCCCTACTGCTCCGACGACCGTTTCAGCGACTTTCTGACGAACTTTTCCGGTGACTTTTTCGATTCTGACAATTATTTATATTATTAATTAAATATTTATATTATTAATTAAATATTATGGTATTACAATTATAAAATTAATGGTCACATATACATAATTAATTGGTCACGGATTATTTTTTAGGTCACAAATCAAAAAAATTATAGGTCACGATTTTTTTATTGATCACAGATCAAAAATTTTGTAAGTCACGGATTATTTCGAGATCACATATTATTTTATTGGTCACGAATCAGAAAATTACAGGTCACAGTTATCCATCAGTCACATATTTTTAAATTTATTGGTCACAGATTAATTTTTAGTCAGAATTTTAAGGTCACAGTTAGATTTTTTTTGTGACCAACCCCGTGACCACCCCCATCGCAGATTAATTTTTAGTCACAATTTTAAGGTCACCACCACCGAATTCTGTAACTACCCTCGTGACCACCCCCGTGACCACCACCGACCCCCGTGACCACCCATCTTCTGTGACCACCCCCTTACCACNGTTTGGTGAAATTTGTAATATAATATTTAAATATTGAATATCTGACTTTGGAATTAATAAAACTTGGATCTGATTTTGGAAGTTGGATATTGAAACATAGGGTTTCGTGTAATTACCACTAATCAAGGGGTGGAGATAAAAAAAACAAAAGAAAGCATCCAGTGGGTTGGAACAAATTGGGCTCTAAATTTACTGAAAAACGTGACCCATCCAGAAGTTGGTGGAGGCAAGTGGCCCATACAATGTGTTTGTTTAATATAAAAATTGATAACTCCACGTCATTAACATTACATTTTGAGAGATAAAATCTATTTTCGCAAATTTGCAAAAATCGTGTTATAAATTGACAAAAACTTTAGTATTTTGAATATTATATATTGTAGCTATTTTGGTAGGTTGCTCCCACTGAACACGACGTGGCTCTACCCCTGCGGACATCCCACTGGTCGTGCTTTTGAAATTGGCACTTTTGAAAATTGAAAAAAAGGAGAATTTTTTTTTTAATTAGTTCTACTCAACTGGAAGATAAAAATAATGTACTAATAGATTTCCATTACCACGTTATATTTTCCATTTAGATATGTCATTGCATTTGTTGATTCAGTATGCACAGTAGATAGAGTTCCTAAATTAAAAGTCACGTCATTAACAGTGCTTTTTTTAACTCCGGTTTCCAAAAAGTAACATATACGAACACGAATGATTAATAAAAACGAAACGAGCATATTATCATGTCAAACATACATAATAAAACTCAGTTCAAACCGTAATGTGTAGAATTAACATATTAGATACAAGTAAGCGAGACAACTATGTATAACACGACGGCAACATACATTTTATAACCATGCTGGATTCTTTAAGGGAGTGACAACAGCCTTCACCTGCAGATAGTTGTTGAGGCTGTAAATTCCTTTTTCCCTGCCTATACCACTCATTTTATATCCACCGAATGGAATCGCAGCATCAAAAACGTTGTAGCAGTTAACCCAAACGGTGCCAGCCCTCAATCCTCGCGACAACGTGTTAGCAGTATCCAAACTCCTTGTGAAAACACCTGCTGCTAGACCGTATTTTGTCGTGTTAGCCCTTTTTATCACTTCATCATTGTCCCTGAAACAAGGTGAAAAGTATCCTAAGGACCTAAACCACCTTCTTCTCATTTTTCGCTTTTGCTTTATAGTCCTTTTATGAGTTGTAAATGTCAAAATGAATACTTGACTTTCACAACAACAAACAAAGCCTTATTCTCAAGAACTATAGAGTCGGTTAATTTCTTAATGCACTGACTGTTGATATTCACAAACAGCTGAAAATTCATTAACTTACTTGAATTTTAGGATGGTCTGTACAGGGCCAAAAATCTCATCTTGTGCTATTAACATATTATCCTGATTCAACAGAAATGGAAAAAGTCCATTATTACAGTCACTACAGATGTTTTAACACATATTATCTGCCTGTAGAATAGGAATTTGGAGTACCTCAACACTTGAAAATACAGTGGGCTGAATAAAGAAACCTTTGGACCCGATTCTGTCGCCTCCACATTCAAGGGTGGCATTGCTCTCAATGCCAGATCTTATGTACCGAAGAACCTTCTCAAATTGCTCGGAGTCAATCTACCAAAGTCGTTAAGAGGAATATCAGCTTTCACAGTTTTAATAAGTTCAATTTAATAGTGAATCAAAGGACTGAAAAAACGGTTGTATAATTGTTTTAGGCAACTGGTAGGAGGGCAAAAGGGATTTTTAAAAAATCTGATGTTAAATTTTCATGTGCAAATCGGTACAAAAACTTAGCTTTGTAAGGAGACTTCTACAATTAACGAGGGGAAGAAGGCTAAAGATGTAATGATTCTAATTATGTTCAACATCTTGGTTTATGGGCTTATAATCACTTGAGCATCCTCCACTAACAAGTTGTTTTAAGGGTGAGCTCTACCCAATGCGGTTGTAAGAATTGGTATCATAGCAAACAGCCTTCCAGGCATGACCTTGGTTGCAGATGGGCCAGATTGGGGAAGGCTACTTTTAATAGAAGACTAGTTCTGTGTAGTGAAGTGACCCTGTCCATGAATATGGACCTTCTTGGATGTCGATTCTGAGGGGTGGATGTAACAAGTCTAATCGTGTCCCGCATTGCCAAGCTAAAACTTAGTTTATGGGCTAATAACAACTTGGGACACTCACTACTATAAGTCAGTTTTAAGGGTAAGTTCTACCCAATATGGTTGTAACAAAAGAGTTCGGGTGAATGAAACCACTCACATGGATATAAGATTGGGAGAAAGTGAGGTAGTACCTGAGGACCTTGTTCGATACCTGTCTTGAAGGGATCACCGACTGTACGTCTGATAGCACGTGCCTTTGCCTTCTCTAGGAACTCATCATATACACGTTCATGAACATAAGTACGAGAACCAGCACAGCAACATTGGCCCTACAGTTAACAAAAGCGTTGAATAGTGGATTCTACCCTCAAATTCTAGACGAAAAAGATTGCACAAACCTGGTTAAAGAACAGAGCAAAATGTGCTTGCTCTACAGCCTTATCAATATCAGCATCCTCACATATGATAAATGGGGATTTCCCTCCAAGTTCTAGGGTAACTGATTTCAGATTGCTTCTTGCAGCAAGCTCAAGTACAATTTTACCAGTGTCGGTTGATCCCGTGAAAGCAAGCTGGAAAAGAGCAGCAGAAGTTGGTAGGGATGAATACTTTCCTAACTGATTTGGCACTAAAATTTGGCTCAAATACCATAAAGTGAGCAAGACAATGTAGTTAAGAATCCCTGATAATATGATCTGATAAATCGTTATAAGTTCATATGGAAGTTCTTAAACACCTTATCCACATCAATGTGACTAGCAAGAGCTGCACCGGCAGATGGACCATAGCCAGAAACCACATTTAGTACACCAGGGGGAAGACCGGCCTATCAAGATTCCAAATGCGAAATGGATTAGACCAGAAAACAATAGCAGACAGAAAGAGAGAGAACATTATGTGACTCGTTGCTTATTATCGTCATACAAACAAAGATCAACAAAAAAAAATCAAATTAGCCATAACTTGGATAAAAAGCATGCAATATTTAAGGACTAATGAATGACCAAAATATAAGTTAATCCTAAATTGACTCATTTACATTCAAAACAAGCATGCGGCAAATAAAACCTGCACATCTAATCATATTAACCTGTTTACGTTGTTTACAAATGGTCTAAACTCTCTAGTATTTTCTTGGAGTTGGAGTATGAATTCCATACCAAGAACTAAGAAAACACGAACAACTAAGAAAAGAAAAAAGAAAAAAAACAATAAATATAAGACTGCAAAACTACCTCATGGAACAATTTTGCTACATATAAACCAGTCAGCGGTGTTTGCTCTGCAGTTTTTAGCACAATGGTGTTCCCACATGCCAGTGCCGGACCAACTTTCCAGGCGAACATAAGCAGGGGAAAGTTCCAAGGAATAATTTGACCTGCAACACCAATTGGTTCATGCAAAGTTTGTACATGATACGGTCCATCGGCTGGAACTGTTAGACCGTGAATTTTATCTGCCCAGCCTACATTATTGGAGAATTAGTGTTAGGAAATTCCAGAAAATAGGTATAAGATTTTGAGTGTTGTTGCATTTCCAAACACTAGAAGCAACTGTAGTATCCAAATACCTCTTTTAAAAGCTTAAGCCTTTTAGGGAGGGAACACATTGATCTAATTAAATTCAGCCTTAAACATGTCCCCTCAAATTAAAGACTAATAATTTTTATTAGAGGCTAGGCATGATCACAATTTACAAATGAGTGGCGACGAGACTTGAACTCAGTATATCTAGTTATCTTAATAGTATGTTGAATCAACTCATTTAAAAGCTTGAACTTTCAGCGATGAGAGATATTTATATAATTAAATTGAGTCTTCAACGATATCAACACTTAATAGAAGTTATACCAGCATAATAATGAAATAGACGAACAAATATTGGTAGTTCAGTTTTGAGAGCTTGCTCGTAAGGTTTCCCGTTGTCCCACGTCTCAAGTGCAGCAATCTCGTCCGTGTGTTTTTCAACCAAATCAGCAAACCGTAGCATTATGCGTGCCCTTTCCTAAACCATTATCCACCCCCACCCCAAAAAAAAAACCATAGCATAATTAGCACGAAATGATATCTAATGGAGACAATAAACGAAAAGTCATAACGATCATAAGAGAAAAACAGAGGAAAACAAAAAATAGAATGCTTACATAAGCACTCATTTTCGGCCACGGCCCTTCATCAAACGCTTTGCGGGCAGCAGATACTGCACGATTGATATCCTCAGCCTCTCCTTCAGCAACATGTGCAATAACTTCTCCAGTCCGAGGATCCAAAGTGGGAAATGTTTTCCCTGTTCCACGATAAGGCTCGAGTTAAGTTCGTGCTGATGTACATTTATTCACATGGAAAACAAGACATTTGATTCGACAAAAAAAAGGTGAAAATGCTAAATCAGGATTACCTGATGCTGAATCAACAAATTGTCCATTGATCAAAAGCTTGGTGTAATTAATCTGTACTGGTGGAGAAATTGGTTCCTCAAGTACTGCAGCAGTGCTAAACTTGTGCATGCCCCTTCCAAAACCATAATTTCTCCCTGCATATAATTATTGTCAAATAATGGATAAATTGCACGAGTCGCAGCCAACAAAAGAGTTTGGACTAAAAATGCAAAAGAGGATATAGATCGAGAACATCGAGTTCAATTTGTCCTCAATTAAACAATGTCCTATACTCCTATTACATAGTTTCGTACAAATACTTAGGCCTTGAGGGACCATATTCTTCTGTCCGGAGGTAGGTAGTATTCCAGAACATGTGAGGACAAAAATACAAGTACTAATAAAAAATGACAGACTGATGATGTTTCCTAAGCCCCTTTGGAATTTTCGACACTTTACGTAAAATGCATTAGATAGTAGTCGACAATATTAAGAAAGAAAGAAAAATGTTAAAATCCTATTAATCGGCGTCTAGTCTAGTCCTGTCCAGTGCAAAACATACTTGGGCTGTAATTTTTGTTTTTAAGTTAGAGATTCAGACCATCAATCATTAGAAAGACATGAAGGGAAAGGTCCTATATCCACTCAGGCAAAATCCAATTAACTAGAAGTGAGTTTGCGAGGTCAAACTTGCTTTTAAGTAATTTATTTTGCCAAACATGTTTTTCACCCATTGGGCGGATCCAAAAATTCTAGTGAGCTAGAACGGCCGTTGACAGCAGCAATAACGAGATTGTTTATTAATATTTAATTAAATAATATTAAAAAAAATTCAATCAATATATAAATGCCTTAAAATGTAAAAATTATATACATATGATACAACCCAAAATAATAAGAAAAAAAATATAATAACGAATACAATCCAAGCGAGCGGCAGTCCAATATATATATATATTCATTTTTTTTCCTGTAGAGCCAGCATGGGCAACCGTCCTTATTCACCGGGTGCTGGCTCTGCCCAGACACTACTCCTAAATAAGAAATTGAATCTTTAAACAGATTCACTAATTCTAAACAAGAAATTGAGTATCAGTCACCTCTCAAATGAACATCATCTTCAACAATTCTTTAGATAGACGAACTTTATAAACAGAAGCTAATATGTATATCCACACCACATGCATTATGCATATAGAAAAACGACAAATCCATACTCAAAACGATACAGTGACTCATGCAGAGTTATATATATGTGTTTGAATAGAGAGAGAGAGAGAGAGAGAGAGAGAGAGAGAGAGTGAGTGAGAGAGATCACCAAAAGAAGCAGGAGTAAGGGAGAGAGAACGTGGGAGAAAATAGGAAATTCTACGAGCTGCCATGGCTTTGATTATCTCAATAGCTTCTTCTTCTTCTTCTTGATTTTATATCTGAAGCTGGTGGGAGGAGCTATGGAGAAAGAGCAAATGGTCTAGTTATCATAAAATACGTATTCATATCATGTTTGACTTTATCTTTTGTTTTGTTTTGTTTTCGAATGCGACTTTATAATCTTTTAAAAAGTTTAAAAAGTTAATTTAAGAATTTAATTTTCTTTTTAAAGTTTAACCAATCACTCAACTAATCCCAAACTATTTATATATTCTAGATGTCATTTGTTGTTTGGAGAGAAAATTAACAATTGGTCTCGACCACGATGGCATATCGTCACAACTTTTCTTTTGACATTACAATCGTGCTATATGTACGTTATATTTGACATCATTATTTACATTGTGTCACATGGTAACACATCATTCGCCAGTTAAAAAAGAAAACTATTTTCCGTCCATTTCTTTTCGAAAACACATAGGATGTCAAAAAATATGTAAACCATGGAATATAAACTCAACATTATTTTTGACATTATCATCTCCAATTTCACAACTTTATAGTATCATTAGTATTTTTTTTTCTCGGTTTAGTAGTTAATATTTATTATTTTTTGTTGAAAACACTGTAAATAAAAAAGAAAAAACATCGCACCGACTCCGCCCCATCTACGTCCCAACAACACTCAACTCATCATGTTGTCGAGACTGCTTGTCTCTATCTCTAACATATTTTTAATATACTACATTTTTGAAAAGATAATTGCATGAAGAGTCACTGATCACTTGTCTTAAAAATTATTTGTTAACCCAAAATCTAGGAAAATAGAAAAGTGAAAGACAAGTTTGGGTGGCAGTTGAAGAAAATTCCGGACAAAAAAATTAAGAAAAAGTTTAGGATATAGTCGAACCAAATGCAGATAGAACGAGAATGTCAGCACATTCCCTCAGCCGGCAGGCAACAGCCGTATAGGAAATGTCACAATATCATTTGAACTATTTGGCATTTCCTCTTAATATTCAAATTGAATACGTACAGATATTGATAAAATAATTAAACTTTGGGATATATTTCGAGGCTTGATGTTTATCACGATAGATAAATACTTTAAAAAGTTTCGATCAAGAGTGTGTAATAACAATCACACACCTTGATTATTTATACGTTTTCTTCTCGAGTTTATTTATTATATTATTATCTAATTGTGAGGTATAGGTAGGGTTGGACGAAACTTTCGAATCGAACTGAACTAAATCGAGAGATTCTTTATAAATTAAATATCCGAACGAGTATCTGAATCGAGAATCGATGAGTTTGGTTCGATTCTCGATTCTAGACCAAGAGCCGAATCTAAATAATTTTTTATATTGAATTAATTAAATTTTTTTAATTTTTTTCCAAACAAATTAGAAAATTAACTAATTTAGTTGAACAATTTTTAATTTATTTGTGTTTATTAATTTTGCTTTTTTTATTATGCTTGTAGGTTTTCTTAGTATGACAAGTCAAGCAATTGATGATTAAATGAAATAGTTGGTGAGCATTACAAATATTTAAAAATATTTTATTTTTATAA